GTGTATGTATGTATATGAACGCGTGTAAGTATGTACAATATTCCGAGCACGAATTTAAAAGCTCTCTAGCACGTTACCCTTCTCTCTTTTCGTTCGTTTCATTACCATGTCCTGTTACACCCCCTTCCCTCTCCTACTATTCTTACCCCTACCCCTAACCACCTATCCTGCCCCTTGCCCCCTACCATCACTCGTTCTATCTCTCTCTTTCTTTCATTCTACCTCACATTACATATACCAACATTTTCTACTAGTCCAGCTTTTTTTTGATTTTTTTCATTTTTATAATCAAGCAATCCTAACGTACATACACGGCCGAACTATGAAATCCTAAAAAAAAAAGAAAAAAAAATCTACATCCCCATTCGAGTTTTGCGATTTTCTCGGCTAACCAACAAGTGAGAAAGAGAGATTCAACAAACTTCGTACTAAGAAAAGGTAAATAGAATTTAAAGTTAGTATATAAAAAAGAAAAAAAAAATTAATAAAAATAAAAATACAACAAATAAAAGAAGGAACAAGAGAAGATAGAATAAATAAAAGAAAAGTAATATAAAAATTGATAAAAATAAAAAATAAAAAACAAGGTTGAAAAGAAGAAATGAACGAACGATTATCGAGTGGAGGAAAGACAAAAACTTGGAGGGGAAGAAGGAAGAAAAAATTTTTGGAGAAAAGCGAAAGCTTTGCACGTTTTAAGAAGATTCCCATCAAAAAAGGGGTAGCTTTGTCTTTCTCTCTCTCTCTTTCGATATTTCTATCTCTGTCTTTTTGTCTCGAATATAAATACGAGAAGTTTATATACAACGTCGAACGGAAGTATTGACTTATTGTGAGACTAAATTTTTCCTCCTATATAAAATTGTACTCTTACGTAAATTTGTTCGATGTACGATCCCGTTATTTAATTTTTATTTTATTTCTTTTTTATCTTTTTTGTCTTTTTTGTTTTTATTTTCTCTTTTATTTGCAATACCGAACAAAAGTATTTACACAGATTACGTTTTCCTATAACAGATATTGGGTTATTAAATCTGTTAAAAGTACGTTATCCCATTATTTAATTTTCTTTTTTGTTTTATTTTTTTGTTCTCTTCTTTATTTTTTGTTAAATACAATAACTCTCGAGCTTATTAATTTAAAATATATGAGAGATTTTTAAAATAAATATAAAGTAATTAAATAGCTTTTAAATGTTATTCAATGTTCTTTCAATCGAAATGAGAAGGATTTTATAAATATCATTTAATATAATGAATTAATTATAAAAATAACATTAATTTTATATCAATGGCTTACGATTCCGGAGATATAATTTTAAAAAAGTCAAATTGTACTTCTTTTTTTTTTTTATACAAATTTACATAGAAAAATATTCCGTTATCTTTATAGTTCTCTTTCTCTCTCTTTTTAAATCCATTTTCACTTACAATTGTTTAACAACGTAATCTTCCAATTCATATATTGCATTCTTGAATTTAAAAATTATACACATAAAAATAAAAATAAAAATAAATAACAAATGGCTTGAAATTCGTTCTACTTTTTTTTTTACCCCCATACCCTTTCCTTTCCCAGTGTCATTAACAAAAAATAATATTAAACAAATTTAAATTTTTATATTTCAATATTTGTATTTTATTTCCTCGACAGTGTAAGAATAATATCCAGTTGAAAAAAATCGATTAAAAAAAATTAAATAAATTTAAAAAAATGAAAATAAAAAAAAAGAGAATAATTTCGATAACAACAATTCATTCATGAGAATAAAAGAGAGAGAAAGGAAGGGGGGGAAAAAAAATGTCATCAGTTGTTCAGTAGTTCAAACGTTCCTTTCATTTATTCGTATCGTTGATTCTTTCTCTTTATATCCATATTATTTTCGAGCCAGTTATCCCACAAGACTTTGCTTCTCAATTTTCGATGAAAAGCACGAAGAGTGGAGTGTCAAGTGGATCGTTTCTATACTTTCTTTCTCCTTCGATTTCTCCCATGGCTCTTGTCCAAATGCGTAGTCAAGATATAGTTCGCTAACCGATTCCCTTCTTCTTCTATTTCTTTTTATTTCTTTTTATTTTTTTTATTTTTCTTTTATCAAAAATCGATGAAGAAGAAAATCGAGATACTACATGGAATTATTTTATTTTTCAAAAAAAAAAAAAAAAAAAACAAGACCGTCATCATATTTCACTGCTCTTTTTCTTGATATTATTTTCATAGGGAATATTTTTATATATTCGAAATTTGTATGAAATTTGCGTTCCTTTTACATTGAGAAAAAAAGGAATCATTTTTTTTTTCTAATTTATTATTCATAATTTTAAATCCACAAAAATATGGATATAGATGGAGAATAAAATTGGGATACTGTGTGAGAACTGATTTTTTTTTTGTTCTTGTTTGATAACACCTTTTGTGATTATTTTGATACAATAAAAACTCGCGAATTCATTCACACCGAATGAAATTAATTATTCACTTCCCCTATTGTATTCGTAATTTTTAAAACCATAAATATTATTTCACCAACGAAAGTATTGTATTATTTTCCTAAAGACATATTTAATAATTATTTCTAACAGAAAATTCTTTTGCTTTCTTTATTCCTTTACTTTACAAAAAGAAAGAAATAGAAAAAGAAATAGAAAAAAAAACAAATTCTTTCTTTCTTTCTTTCGTAATAACGTAAAATAAATTTCTTTTAATTTCTTTTTTCTTATTTCACATTTTTTTTTTCTTCCTTTTCACAAACGCAAAACTTCGTTATAACCGTTAACAAAATTATTTCATAATGACTTATTTCAAAAACAATTCCTTTTTTTTTTTTAACGAACATTCCTTTATCTCGTTTAAACAAATTAAAAAAAAATATATTTTACGCATAGAGAACTCCTTTATTAAAGTAAAATAAAATAAAAAATTGTCTTTCAACGACAACGACGTACAAGCCGGCACCCTATTTCGAATAATAATTTTTTTTAAGTTATTTTCAACCAAAAATTCTCTTCTCTCGTTCTGACGAAAAATTATAATTTAGTTTTTTTTTTTTTTTATACCTCACGACTCATTATAACCGTAAATTCATTTCTCTCTCACTCTCTCTAGTATTTTTTTTTTAAATCTCAAGACTCGTTATTTCCGTCCAGAAAAAAAAGAAAAGAAAATAGTAAATGAAAAAGAAAAAAAAACAAAGTTGGACCAAAATTTTCGTCAACGTTAACAAAAACATCATCATCATCATCCTCAATGTTATATTTAGGTTGTTCAAAAAGTAATTTCGTTTTTTCCTGACACAATAAAAGCATTACTTGATGCAAACCGACAAATAACAACAGATGAGATTGGTGAGAGATTAAATTTATTAAATTCAATTGTTTATGCCCACTTGAAAGTCCTAGGTTTTTTCTCAAAGCAAAAATTGTTTTCATTTTAACAAAAAAAAAAAAAATTACTTGTCGAACAATTTATGTTATCAAAATAAATAAAAAAAAAAAAAGGATTAAAATATCGGAATAAAGTGAAAAGGAAAAAAGAAAATAAAATTAACCCTTTGAATGCTATGAACGCATATATGCGTTTGGAAAAAATTGCTAGAGTGGTCGGTTCAAAACACATATGTATTTATTAATATTAATGTAAAATAATGTAATATTTATAATAATTAAATTAAATTATATTCATAAGGAACAACTTTAATTTTTAAATATAATTTAGTTAATAATAAATTATTCTATTTCTACAAAACATTTTAGGTGAAAGTATTCAGCACTCAAAGGGTTAAATGAAGTATCAAAGCATGAATAAATCTACGAGATTTGCTATCGTGATCTCCATTTTGTATTCGACTCATCCCCTCCTCCTTTCCTTCCCCTTCTCCTTCTCCTTCTTCTTACAATCCCATACATTTCCCTTTACATTCTTATTCATAGTAAAACTATTCAAAGTGTATATATATGTATTGTGGGAGGGGTGAGGGTGGGGTAGGGGGAAAGGTGTTGGATTTTATCGAAAAGTCAAATTCGACGTTTCTTCTGTGGTTTTTCCATAAAGATGAAAAGACAGATCATGTTCGTGTGATATCTTTGTACATGTTGTGTTCTGTTTTCTTTCAAGTGAACTTGCATTATCGTTCTATCGAAAAAATAGGTATTATTTTCATGGTGAAAAAGGAAGATAAAGATGTGGGTTTTGATTTAATTTTTCCGCAGAAACTCCCCCCTCCCTTCAACTTCCCCCACTTACAGCCAGAACATTTTGATATTTATAGTATACAGTAAGGTTTCTCCAATTTTTCAATTTGGTGACCTTCTTTTTTACTTTCAACAAATATTTTCGCAATTCGTGAATTGTATACTCTTATGATATATAGTAATCAAACAAACGTATTCTATACGTATAATGTTGTTCAACTGGTATTTATTATTAATTCATTGGTGATTATTAAGCGTTCAAAACATTTTTTTTTTTACTATCAAATTTCTACTATCCTCAGATTTGATTTTGGTATTGGGTCATCGTGATTGGACGTTTGGAGAAACCTTGGTATATAGGATTAGCCAAAAATTATCATAGATAAAATCTAAATAATTTATTATGAATATATACATATATATTATTTTTTTATTTTTATTTTAAATTGTAAAACTAGTAATTGTAAAGCTAGGAACGTTTAATGTAATTTATGTAAGTCAGATGGCTCATTTAATATGTTACGAATAATTATTAAAGAAATTATTATTCTTTTTTTTTTAATTTAAATATATATAATTTTATTTTATTTTTTTTTTAAATTAATTTATATTTTTATCGTAAGAATATTTCTAATGAAATTATTTTTTATTGTCTTATTTAAAATTAAAATGTGTATTTTTTTTTTTTTTATTTTAAAGTAAACGATTTGTAATATTGTTAGTGGATTTCATTCGATACATCGTTTGACCGTGTGAAGTAGTAGTATGTTAAAAAAGGAAAACAAAAATAAATAGAAAACGTAAACTCACCTCTTAATGAATCAGCAGTCGTGGCAAGAAGTCCCTGAAGACTCCTGCTGTGATGATGAATCAAATTGTCAAAATCCTTTCCGGCTTTGAGTCTCAAATGATTCTCGACTTCGTGTCCACAGCATGAGGCACCACATATCGCTAGAAAAAAAAAAATAAAATGAGAAATAAATATATTAAATATCTTATTTTTATTTTATTTTATATTTAAATACTTTGTACAAAAAAACAAACATGCAGTTTTGTATATTACTGGTCTTACGTTTATTTATAAATATGTTTAATAAATTTTTCTTACGACAGATGATAAAGAAAAGAAATACGATCGGTTAGAAAAAAAGAAAGAAATAAAGAAAGAAAAATGTTTCCACTTGAAAAGCACGAAAGAGCAGCTCGGATAGGTTTTTGCTCGATTTCGCACTTAGGAAGTGCACTTAACCACTCAATTTCTCAAATTTCTAACTTTACTTTATATCTTGCTTGACATATTTTAAATAAAAAAACAAACATAAAATATTATGACAAAGATATTTAAATTATTGACGACAGAATTACAAGATGGGTCAAAAATTTGTATAAGTGAATCAAACGTTTCTAGTTTGGTATACTAATCAATTACTCTTTTACCAAACTTATTTTGTACTAATATTTTTTTATGAATATATAAAAATAAAACTCGTTTATAAAATTATATATTTAATTATGTATCTAATAGTATATTTCATAAACATATTAAAGTTTTAAAATCATCTTACAATGTTTGGCGTATCTTGTACTCGTATAATTCATTACAAGAAAAATAAATAAAATAAATTAAGTAAAGTATAAAATTTGAATAAACGTCTTATTAGATATTCTTAGAAATGTCGCATGTAAAATGACAAATTTAATTAGGAGTTTTTAAATATTTATAAATCATCTAAAAACTTACGGTCCATATTACAAAATTCTTAAAAGAATAAAATGTAAATTATATTTCATTGTTTCTAACATATATTCAACCTAATATTATAATATATAATATTAATAAATAATATAATAATATTAATTAAAATAATTAATATAATTAATATTAAATTAATATAATAATAATTATATATATATATATATATATATACATGAAATAAATATAGTTAAACGAACATAATCACTAATCGCTAACGTTTATAGTTATCGATAGAACCGCAGATCTTTAACCAACGTTTCTCGAAACAAAAAAAATCATTTATTTCCAATATAACTTAGGTGCACACGGTGGTATCGAGTTATCCATATTGGTTGTGCGGTTGCAAACAGATATCCTTTCCCTCTATCATTACTTTTAATCCGATTCTATCTTGAACTAATCGATATTGGATTCATAATATAATATTAAAAAAAAAGAGAAAAAGGGACAAATCTAAAAATATTATCTTTAATTTCTTATCTTCAATGGATACAAACATATATAGATATAATCAATTTTTAAACGAACGGATATCTATATTTTTATAACATTGATCTTTTCATTCAACAAATCATTTCAACGACAAATTAATTTCAACTTTTTCATTTTAAAAAAACCTAAGAAATAAACTTGTAATATTTTCTATACTGTTCCATTCAAAGTGATTACATTTATTATTATTATTATTATTATTATTATTATTATTATATTTATACGTGAACTTTTTTGATTATAAGAATCGGAAGCACAATGTGTGGCCCATGAAAGGACAGAAGAAGAAGAAGAAGAAGAAGGTTGAGAACACCTGTAATAGAACAACCAAGTCGTGTTTTAACAACCGCAAAAGAACTTTATTCGACGACGAAAATTTCATTAATCCGAAGTCGTAAATCAAATTCCTCGAGGGATGGATGCACGCGAGTCTTTTATCTTCTTCTTATTCTTCTTCATCTTCATCATCTTCTTCTTCTTCTTCTTATTCTTCTTGTCTGGTAAGTTCACGAGTGAACGAACGAACTAACGAGGAACTGAACAATTAAATTCCTCGCGTCTCGATTAGAGGACAAAATTATCGCGGAACGATTCATCCAATCGAGAATGTACATATATATGTGTAGTACGTGCATGTATGTATATATATATACGTATGTATAGGTGTAACTAATACTTGAATAAAGAGAAAGAGGGAGATAACATACTCCATTTCCATTTAAACGTTCATCTTCGTATCACCCGCCATTTTCTTTTGTGCCATTCTATTCCGAGTAATTTCTTTGAAAAATTAATACCGAGGATACTCAAACTGAACGTTTAAAAGCGTTAAAGAAATCTCTTTTTTTTTTCTAATATCAGACTTTTTAAGAGAAGACTAAGTTAAATCAAAGAAAAGAGTTTTATATAAATATAATATTAATAATAATAAATATAATAATATTGAATAGAATTAATTTTATATAACAATTTTACAAACTTGTCTTTTAGTGTTTTAATATGAAAAAGTATAAATTAATTTATAAGGCCTCTAAATAATAATAATAATAATAATTAATATTTAATACTGAAACTATAATACTAATTTATTAATAATATTTTAATTATTATTAATTATTTAAATTATTATAATATTTTAATATTTTATTTATTATTAATTAATACTAATACCAAAACTACAAATTAAGTGTATATTTAAAAATATTCATATCTCTCATTTACAATTATATTATATACATGATAATAAATATATAACATATTGAAATAATAAATAAAAAAAATTTAATGACTATTGAATAATTTCAAATTTACAAATAAATGCAAAAACCCTCATAGAATTTGGGATTTATCTAATAAGAAGATTTTTGGACTATTTTGGAATACTTTAATTAATCTAAATTATTTAAGAGTATAAAAATTTCAAATAAAAGATTAGTACAAAGACATAATATTAATATGCAATAATATTGAATAAAGAATTTAAAAAAATTCTAAATTGAATGTAAAATATCACCTAAGAACTTAGAGTTTATCTAAAATTTCAAGACCCCATTTAACGTAAAATAAACTTGAACGTAGAATACTTTGAAATACTTTAATTCATTTAAATTCTTTAAGAAAAGAAAAAGATAGATAAAAGAGAATATATATATATTTATAAGTTTACTTTATATAAATATAAAGATTTCAAAAGGAAACATCTTTACTGAACAGATACGTTTCGTCTTTCTAATTGTCGTATCTATTCTCGTCTTGTCTCTCGTTTATAAAAGAAACGAATAAATACTTTTTTTCTTCTTGTTTCTCATCATCATCATCATCATCATCATCATCATTATCATCTTCATCTTCATCTTCTTCTATCCCAACTTCTCTTTTTCGTTGTCTTATTTGTCTTGTTCTATTCCACTTGGCAAACGTTATTGTAATTAATTAGCAGTCAGGAAAGGCAGCTGTTTGTCGATCACCAGTCCTTATCCGCCTATTTTTTTTTCTCCCAATTATAACAACACACGCAAAAGTTGCACAGAGAAAAGGAAAGAAGAAAGAAAGAGATAGAAAGATTTATACGAAAAGAAAAGGAAAGAAGAAGATGGCTACTTGGTCGTCTTGTGCAATTACAGGAGGACGATTGCCCGATAAAATACGTTAGACCGACATCTACGTTGAAAGAGGAGGGTCATGGACGAACAAATAAAATGAGGCTAACGGGTATCCTCTAGAGGGTCATACTGGTTCCTCTCAACAGTTCTCTTACGTTTTATTTTTATTTTTATTTTTATTTTTATTTTTATTTCTATCTATCTCTCTCACTTTTTCTGTTACTCTACTCTTTACCATTGAATTTACCTATATAACTATCTATTTATCTATACATATAACAAAAGTACCATGTATTAAAGTTTATAGATAAGGAAAGATGAATCATAAGATATGAAATCATTCTTTTTTTTATTATTATTATTATTATTATTATTTTTCTCTATTTTTTTAATATTATATCTATTTATATAACCATATGTACACATATATGTATATATATATTTGTATAATTAAAACTATACAACCATATGTATAATACATCTATGTGTACATATATTTGTATAATTTAAAAGTACTAATTAGGATAATGTTGTACTAATTTTTTCTACTATTTGATTAATATTAGATTTAATTATATAACTATATATATCCAACTATACACCTAAATATCGTATATATACAGGGTAATCGGTACCTGGTGGTACAAACGAAAAGGGAGTGAATCTACATGAAAAAATAAATCGAAAATATAGATTAACAATTTTTCGTTTGATGCTTTGTTTTCGAAAAAATCAACTTTGAATTTTGGCACAGTACGCGTCTACTTGATCTGATATGTTCGTAGGGTATTTCCGAAAAGTTTGTAGGCTATTTCCAAAAAGTTCGTAACATATTTTCGAAAAGTTCGTAGCAATTGAAAGAAAAGATTACCAGTTACCAGTTACAGATCACCCTGTATATATAGATAATTATATAATTAAATATAATATTAAAAAAATATAATAACACACTGGCCATGAGTTCTTACATTATTTTTTTAAAATCTCTACATATTTGTACAGAATGTGGGTCATAAGTTTCTATATGGGTCAAGAATTTTAAAATAATTTATAAAAATCACTTACTCTAGTTTTTCAATATCGAATTTACCAATACACCTTTATCTACCTATATACATAATTTTTATATTGTAATAAAATGTTTAGTAAGGAGCACTAAATTTCTAATTAATTATTATTTATGTTAGTATCGTTTAGCTGTAAAAGTTAATTGTAAACCCATTCGAAACCACTTACACACAGTATGTGCGCAATCATACTTTGCTATTATCAGTTATATTGATTAAAGTTAGACTTTTTTTTTTTGTATAAATAGTATCTTTAAAATAATAATTTGTGAACAAAATTTGGCATTGTAAAATTGGCAATATAACNAAAAAAAAAAAAAAAAAAATGGCTCTTTTGAACCATGTTCGAAAAAAGTCGTGGTCTCGAATGGGTTAATAACAAAATAGTAAAAATAGATTATAAAAATTTATAAAAAAGAAAAAAACTGATTAGTGAAGGAAACGAAAGGGACAAAAAGGATTTAGAGTGAAAGAGAGAGTAGAAGGAAGTATCGTTAGAAATAGAAAGAGATAGAGTGAAAGACGAGAAGGAAA